GTTCTTCCTCGAAAAGCATTCACACATGCTGTCCGGCGATCACGACAACATGACCACCCTGCGCATGCTCTACTATCCGCCCGTGGTGGACGATGAGCCCGGCCATAGTCAGAACGATGTGGTCAAGGGCCGTTGCCAATATAGCTACCAGCGCTGCTTATCGGATCAGCCGGATTTTCGGCCCGAACACAATCCCCGCGACGAGCTCAATGAGCTGGACGGCGTCCAGAGCAATGGCAAGGATGGCGAACTCTCCGAGCACAAGCTGGCCAATGGGGCCGTCATACGCTGTGGCGCACATGTTGACTACGGCACATTTACGCTGCTAGCGCAGGACTCCGAAGGTGGCCTCGAGGTGAAGCTGCCGGGCAGCGAAAAGTGGCATCGTGTGGGCCACTTGCCGGGTGCCATATTAGTCAACTGTGGCGAGATCTTGTCCATTTGGACAAGGGAGCGATATCCCGCACTGGTAGGCAACAAAGTTCTAAGCAAAGGACTCCCAGCCTAATCCCAACTCGTTCTCTTTCCGTTCCGTAGCAACATCGCGTGGTTGTGCCCGAACAGGAGCACATACGGTCCCGTGGCCGACACTCAATTGCATTCTTCTGCCATCCAGACAATATTACAATGATATCTCCCAACGATCTGCCTCAAACCGATGCCGAACAGAATTCCGCGTGTCTCAAGCAGCGCAAGAAGTCCTTCAAGGCGGCGAAAGAGCGGTAAGCCACAAAATACAAAAATGATTGGTCAAAATTTACTAACTTGATTTCTTTTTTATGGCTTCTCTTTGTCTGGATTCAATTGCTGTTATCACCTCAAGCGTTTACAATGCGTATCAGTTAATACAGAAAAAGTTTAAAGATACGTATACCAATAATAATCACGCTCAATGACATCCTCCACCCCCACAACCCCTGTTCATCCTGCTCATCCGGCCATCGAGCCATCCGTCATCCAGACTGAGGAGAGAGAGAGAGAGTTTCCGTCGTATTTGAGAAAAGTCAACAACACGCATGTTGTTTGTAACTTTTTATTTTTAATATTATTATAATATACGATTGTAATTGCTTCATTTCTTTAGTTTGTATCATATGTATTTGATATACATACTGAATATTTATATACAAATACAATACATACAATTCATACAACATACAAATATAATACTTATATGTATATATGTTTTTTGCACAATTCGAGTATTAATATTAGTTATACACTGACAAAACGCACACATATTAACATTTAACTTAGATTAGATACAAGATGCAACTATTTCCTTTCGCAATTCCAAAATTGACCGAGACTTAGTCGGAGATCATATATCTTTCATCTGGCTGCGGTGAGTTTTAACGATTTCTTTCATTTTAAATTCCAATTGAATTCCTTGAAATATTTATTTCAATTAAATTCCTCATACACATATACATAAATATATACTATATATTTGTTTTGCTTTTCTTCAACTTTGCACAAAAAACACATTTAACAATTAGTTTTGTTTTTCATTTGTATTTCGGTAATTTCATTACATGATCAATAATCTATGCTGTAGCTCAACTTTTGGACATTTTTTCCGAGAGTATTTGGCGCTGCTTGATTGATTGATTGATTGACACTGAGACACGAATGCCGCATACTCCCCCAAACAAACAATATACATAACTACGTACACTTACTTATTAGTTAGAGACTAACATAATCGTAGAAAGACAAAAAAAAAAAAAAAATAAGAACAAAATCAAACAAAATTAATCAGTCATTAAAATGTTTATACAGTCGCAGGCAAGAGTTAACAACAGCTAGAGCTTAATAATACCTGTGCTTATCATTTGACGTGCTGTGCGCACACTTTTGCCCATTACTGTCTGCATGTGTGTCTCTGTGTGTGTGTGTGTGCTTTAGCGAGCTGCCATAACTTAATTATTTACCCCTATATTTGCGCAAAATATTTTTATTTATTTTATTTATAACTGCAAGTCACATGCTCCACTGTCAGCTAACATGCCAATTGTCAATTTTGTTGTTGTTGTTGTTGTTATTGCTGCTTATAGCCAACTGATTTGATCAATAGCCAATGCTTAACTGTCTTTTCAATATGCCACGCAATCGGCACATTCATAACTGCGAATAGACATACTTCTGTAGAATTGCATATTCTATATGTTAGTTACTCGCAAGTAACTGAGTGTGTACTTAAATTATCTGCGCGTAATAACTGTCCAGCTAGTTGTTTAATTTGTTAATAACCATTTATAGAATGGCACGTCTATAATGAACAGTGTGGTGGGGGGTGGGGGGAGGGGAACGGCAACACAAATCTGCACTTATGTCATCAATACCCTTTAGCTGTAAAAATGAATAAACAAGTAAGAGGACTAGTCGGGAGCTCCCGACTAGGGGATACCCTGAACCCTCTTCTTCCAACATCAAATGCATATATATATATTCTATTTTAGAAGCTATATGTCAAGTTTGGTGACTCTAGCTCTTATTATTTACCAAAATTTCCCAAAAAACAGGATATCGATATCGATTTTTATCGATTGCTTGCAAACGGAGAATAGGTAATGGGGTCGGAGAAGCTTCCTTCTGCCTGTTACATACATTTGGATTTTGCACAAATACAATATACCCTAATACCCATTTTTAATGGGTTCATAGTATAAAAATGGCATTCAAAAATATTGTAAGGGTTTACGACGGGCAGAAAAAAAAAAAAATAAATATATTTAAATAGTTTGAATATATTTAAAGAGGCGTAAAGAGGCCAAAAGAGGACGAACTAGCTTTCTGTATGCCCTGTTCCTATTCCAAATGGGTAACAAGCATTTCTGAAAATGTATCTTACAGATACATATTGGCTTTCCTCTCCAGTTAGTGTATGCACGATCCTATCAACTTATCGATCTCAGAGACTCTAGGACTAAGAGACTAAAACTTTGGAACGTAGCTCTGCTTATTGCTACCGCAGATTTGGTTTATTTCGAGCTATCGATAACTCGCCCCGTTTCGGACAAATCGATAAGTATTGAGCTTGAGGCTGATAAGAGTTAAAGTTGCTAAATTTAATTTGTATAGAGTATCAAAATGATTTGAAGCATATACAATCTCGAAATCATTGAAACACACTTCATAAGTATTTAAAACTATTCAAATAGAATAAGCTTAATGTCAAGCTTTTGCACTTCCTTGATATTTATGGCAACAATTTAATTCGATTACGCGTCTACTTGAAATATGAATAATAACATCCGGTATGTAGTTGGACAGAGACTTTTAACTGTGACTGTTTCGTGGAATATGGAAATTAACTAATTGCAATTGTTAAATTTGGCATATGTAAGGTTTGATGGCAAATGTTATTAATTAACATCACTAGTCAGAGTTCGATTCAATTTTGCAACGCAATAGTTCAGGCAACGGGCGCCCCTTTTTGTTTAATCAAAGTATCCGAGTTAAATAAAATAAATATTGGCATAAGTGTATATGCGGGCAGACAGGCTCATTTGTCTATTGGGCTGAGCCATTAAGCTGGCGCTTTAGATAATGACTATGATTTGAAATATATATATATTATTTACTAGCAAAATTATAATAGAAATTAAAGCCAAACAAAGCGAATTTGTGAACGCTTGATAAGCGTTCATTCTGTAAATAATTGCTTTCTTGAAAATGAAAGTTCAACGAGAAACCGAAAACAAAAGAAGAAAACAAGTTTGCAATCTTTATAATTTGTTTGGTTTTTCGATTGTTCGTTATCTTGATGCAAAGTCAAAATGCGCTTGGATAAGATTGTCTGGGCATATGAAATATCATAAATAAATATGGAACCTCGTGCTATAAATACGGGCAGATTATTGATCAAATTTTAAAATATAAAATCATTAAATGAAATAATAATTATATAAAAATACATATCTAAGAAATATGTAAAATAAAAAATGCAAGTATCAAATATATATAGTTATAGAAAAATCTGTAGAAATATTGCAAATAATTTTAATTATTATTTTTTTTTTTGATAAGTTTTTCTAACTAAAATTCAACTAATTTTATGTATTATGTTTTTTGATAATTTTTTAACTTAAATTCAACTAAATTGCTACTAAATTTTAAAATAAAAATTACCTAATTTTATTTATTTACTTTTTTTTTAAAGTTTTTAACTAAAGTTAAACTAAACTGCAACTAATTTTATTTATTAATTTTTTTTAATAATTTTTTAACTTAAATTCATTTAAATTGCATTTAATTTTATTTATTTTTTTAGATAAGTTTTTAACTAAATTTCAACTAGTTGTTTGTTCGTCGTGTGGAACTTATACACTTAGCAACTAAATATTTATTTAACATATATCATATTTGAGCGCCAACTATGCTACAACAATTAAATAATACGCTCAAATATGCGACCTGCTCAAATACATGTACATATATATATTTTAACAGCTTTGTTTTGATGAGACTTTAAGTCACATTTTACATTTTAGCTAGAAACTACAGGTGTGTCGAGTGTGGCTAATAGACCCAGCGGATATGTTAGTCATACGAGTATGGCATGGTATGGCATGGTGTGCACATATATATGCTATGTATATATATATATATATCAATTGAATATGTTTAAGCTTCAGTTGGCCAAATCTAGTTAGCATCAAGTACTATATTAGAAGACATTTTTCACTTAAATAATCCATTTCACGCGCATGTATCAATATTTATGGGACATCAAATAGCAATACGTATATCAAACATTCAATATAATATATGTATGTGTCTGTATATATCTATATATTATATATATTAAATAGTTAAGTATACTTATTATAAACACTGCACTAAATGCCAATCAAATGTTGCGTGAAATCGTTGCAGGCAATTCTAGGAATTTGGAATTCTTTTCTTTCATTTGTTTTGCCCAACAATTTCGCTTTAAATTCAATTTGTAAATATTTCAATTTCCTTTCTTTTTTTTCTTTATTGTACGTAAACATATTTCATATTTCGAGTGTATTTTTTTGCACATCAGTTTCGGATTATCTGATTTATTTTTTTTTTTGGTTTTTTTAGAAGGCTTCAGTATTTTTCTGTGGGATTGTCGTGTTCGGCTTAAACCCATATTTAACTGTTGCTTAGCGTGGTCATAGTTTTGGGCATATATATATATAGCTCTATAGATAGGTAATACATATATGTGGAATTCCTAGCATAGGTTGTGCTGCATCTAACTGTACACACACACACACACACACAGCTGCACATAAGCCAAAGAAGAAGAGCTGAAAGGGCTTAGTTCGTGTACAGCGGATGCAGCTGCTGCTGCTGCTCCTGTCCTGTCATTGTGGGCGTTGGTGTGGGCGTGCCAGCTGTATACTGTCGCGCACGCATCACATTCATGTGTATCTCCGATGAGGCCGTCGAGTTCATGTAGGCCGGCAGCTCGGCGGAACCGTCTCTGGTGCCGTTGTCTCTTCGATGGCCGCCGCCGGCGCCGTTGCCCCGCCCAGCCGCCCGCAAGCTGGCGCGACAATTGATGAACGCGTAGGGACAGCAGCTCTGCAAGAGAAGAGCACACACACACACACACACACGTACAAACAGACGCAGCCAAAATGAGTGCAAATAGGCGTAGAGAGAATGCTTACTACGTACGCAAAGGTTAGGCATATTTAAACGACGTCGGGGACAGATACAGCGAGCGAGATAAATAGATAAGAGACAAAAAGAGACACACACACACACACACGCTCGGAATTCGGGTATGGGCGGTGGGCGTGTGTTGGTGTGAGATAGACAGCACATGTCTCTGCAAAGTTTCTTTTGTATATTTATAATAAAAAAACAAATGACAAAAAAAAATGAAAATAAAAATAAACAAGTAAAAGTGGACTAGTCGAAAGTGTCCGACTAGGATATACCCTAAGCTCAGCGAAGAGCTATATACATTTGCTTCTTGCTGCTTAGCTCAGGCTACTTTTATTTTTCTTCGTTCGATCTTGATAAACTGAACATGGCTTAAATATCGCATAAAAAAGTGTGTAAAATACCAAAGACGAAGGCTCTACCTCTTAAGAAAGACAAATGTCGCTGACGAAGTAAAACACAAAATCGTCTCGGTACGTCTATTTTATGCGAATGTTCGATCGCGACTGACTCCGAGTTCGCTTTATGCCTACAGACTAAGAAGAGAAGTGACAAGGGTTTAATGCATGTGTGAGTGAGACAAGAGGTAATTGGGCTTGTCGAGCTCTTCTTGCAAGAATTAGAGTACTTTTGAGCAAGCTTGAGATAAACGGGAAATTGTATGTATGTGAATGTATGTATGTATTTATCCTGCTACACTCTTAATATTACCTCTCTTAAATATGGTACCAATAACGGGATACTACACCAGAGCGTATATCGATACTCATTGATATTGAGAAAGGTTATCGATATTTTAAATCGATCTAGGCCTGCACTAGGAGAACCTTAATTAACAGTTTAAAATCTTTGGCTCTTATAATCTTCGATTATTACAGACGGACTTGGCTAAACCGACTCGGCTGCTGAGACTGATCAAGAATATATTTACCTTCCCGCAAACTTTTATACCCATTGCAGGCATTTTCACTGGGTTCAGGGTATCAAAAGGGAAATTCCGAGGGAAATAAAAAACATAAAGCCGCATTCATTTAAAAAAAAAAAGGGACTCGCAATGTGTGTTCGTGTAAATATGTGCGTGGCTGTTAAAGACTAGTGTGCCAAATGAGAAATGTGTAGAAAAAAAGGCAGAAAAAGAAATGTTATTCAAACAAACTGTGGGCATCAAAATATGCGCATTTGTAAGTGTTTGTTGTTGTTTGTTTGGAGACCGTTTTGTAACAGGTGCTGTTGTTGCTTAACCGAAAAGAGAGCAGCATGTCTGTGTGTGCATGTGTGTGCACATATCATATATGGATATGTACATATTATGATAGTATACTTATATAAGCGCAAGCTTTTCAATTTGAATATTACATTTTGTTTTGTGGCATTCTCTGGCAGGGCTTAGCGTTTGTCGGAACATATCAGTAGGGCAAAAGCCAGCTGTGCATGGAAGAGATGAGTAGATGAGAGAGGAGAGAGCAGAGATAAAGATAGAGGAAAACAAACCAATTTACAATAGAGACAGAGAAATTGCAAGCGATTGCTTGAGAGTTATAGAGAAAGGGCAAGCAGTTCGTGCATGGAAGTCAACAGGCAATTAACAGTATCGCAGTCGCAATGAAAGTCGTGAAAAGCTGTAGCTGAAGCAGTTGCAATTGCAGTTGCATTTGACAGTTGATAGTTAGTTAATACTGTTGCTCAGTCAGCTTAATACTTATATATGCTATATTTTTAAGTTCAAGCTATAAATGGGGCACTAGTTGCCAATGCAGCGCCAAGTAAACTCATATAGCTACCAGGATGGGCCTCTGTTGCAGTTCCCCCTCTTATTGTTGTTGTTTGTTCTGTTGTTGTTGTTGCTGTTGTTGCTGTTGTACTTGGTTTTTCCGTTGCTGCAGCAGCTGCTTCTAACTAAGTCTAGTTGGGAGGCAAACGGCGTTTGGGTATCGACGTGTTTTCAAAAGCAATATGCATTGATAGAAGGTCTTACTTGGCAATTTGTATAATGAGGCCCCGCCCACTACGTAAATAGGACAAATAGCCCCCACATTGAACTCACCTTGAGCGTCTTTTTAAAGGCGGCCCTAAAATCGCGATTGAAATATGCATAAATGATTGGATTCAGCGCCGAGTTAAAGTAACCAATCCAGAACAAAATGCCAACAACAAGTCGTGGGGTTTTGCAGCTATCGCAGAGCGTAAATATGATGTACCTGTTGAGCAAGGAAATAAATATAATTTATAAATATGAAATATATATTCAGGCATTGTAGAAACTCCTGTTGCATTTACAGGCAAAAGACTTGTAATTTTCATAGATATATCTTTGTTTTCTTTCTCTTGTCTTATAAGTAATTAACTAGGCAGGCTTAGAATAACTAAGGTAAGTTGTTTTCTAGGTAATTCGCAACTCTGAACTCATTTAATAGGAGCAAAGAACTTTTTCTGTTCAACTTTTCTTATCTCAACTTTAACTAAAAAATTGTTGCCTGCGCTTAGGCGCAACAAGAAACTCAAGCTTTCGACTCTTGTAATCTTTGACAGTTATTAACATCATTTTTAAAATGTTCATAAAATTCTAGCAAAATAATAAATATAATTTTAGAAATGGCTTCCACGTATTTCAATTAATTTCTTAGTACATTTTCTAATATTTGATATGGCAAATGTTGGCCAGCCTCGAGCTGCCTGTACGCACCATAAGAAGAAGGGCAGCCAGCAGAGCAGAAATGCGCTCATTATGATGCCCAATGTGCGGGCTGCTTTCCGCTCGCGCCGCATTGTCGTTATGGTTGACTGCTCCACCTGTATGCTGGGCCGGGGCTTGGGTATCTGGCTAATCTGAAGGTGCTTCTCCAGCAGCAGGGCGGCCACTTTGGATCTGCGTCGGACTTTGTAATTAGCGTTAATTGTGGCAAACAAATTAATTGGTTTACCTGTAGACCAAACGCTCCTGACGGTCCGCCTCCTGGTAAATGCGATAGTACATGGACAGCATGACAATGCCCGGTATCCAAAAGCTCATCGATGAGCTAACAATGGCGTAGGCTTTGTTCACTTTGAATTCGCATATCTGCAATTCAATTAAAATAGATTACATGTTCGCCGAGAGTGCAGCACTTGATATGCAAGGGCTGTCAATTCATGGCATAAATCAAAATAAATAACATAGTTGAGTGCATTAAACAAAAGACTGCCAACAATTGCTGTGGCTTTTATGGCCTGCCAACGGCATTAGAAGCAACTGCAACTGCAGCCCGGACAGACAATTGCCATTGTGATAATCGCGGGCGCAACGTTGCGTATGCGTAATGCGATTATTGTAGCAATAAATAGAAAACCCAATTACCGCATACATTAAATCAATAATGTGATATTGTGGCCACGCCCTCAACTTTGGAGGCCATCTAATTAGATTTATGCAAGAGTTGACGCTGACTAAATATAACAACAAGAACAACCGCAATAAGTTAAACTAATTAAAGCCCGAGTTGAATGCTAATGTATGCAAAGGGCTTTCAATGAGTCGGCGCTTTGTGTGAAGTCGAAAATTATGCACAGGCGGCACAAGCACAAGCACAAGCTGAAGATGTGACACCACAAACGCAAATATAATTACATTTATTTATACATCAGCATTTGTATGGCAAAGCCTCTCCGACAGCAGCTGGCAACAGTTGTTAGGCAGCAGGCAGCAGGTATTGAACCACTTTCTCTGACAACTTAACAAATATATGTTGGAATGGTCCAGGACGTGCTCATGTCGAAAACTGGCCAATAAAGCAGACTTAGTAATAAATATGCCAGCCGTCGGCTGAGCGCCTAAAATAGCATAAAAACGCTGCACACATAAATCAATTTTCTTTCAACCTCAGCTGTCAGACTGAGCCAACAGCGCTGGACGCGTGTCGTGTTCGTTATCGTGAACAACTGAACGTAATATGAGGTGCTCGAATTGAATATGTGCATTTTACGAGCAAGCTTTAGTCGGGAGATACGCAGAAAGTTTCAAACACACACACCCACACATATGAGTATGTATGTAATTACATACAGGCAAGCTAACTATGCACTTTACACACAGACTCTGGAAAGCGCAAGGCTCTGCTTTTAAAACTAGTTTTGCCTAAAAAACCATTAACTTAATTTGATATTTATCGATATTTTAGTTTTCGAGACTGACGCGTTTATAAAGGCGAATGGACAGCTAGACTAAATCAATTCGCCCTCTTGATGAAGGATATATTTAGGAAGGATATATATATTATATGTACTATATATATATTTTATGGGATCCAAGTGCCAAATATATCTGCAGCTTTCAGCCGATTGGTTTCTTTGGAGTTATAAAGTAATGGGATTCAATATAATCTACAAGCTACATTGCTTTGTAGTTGAGGATTCGATAAAAAACGCTCTGCCTTTAGGTAACGGTTCGGGAAGCATGTTCCTCACATCCTTGAATCCGGATATTAGTTAAATCTTTTGCTTGTCATATATTTTTCAAAATTTTAAAGAGCGTGCGTTTTTTGCTGCCTGTGTCGTGATAATAAATTCCGACACGCGTCCAACTCTAGTCTGAAGACAAGTCCAAATGCCAACTACACTTGCAGGTGTTGGCAGAATTTATGGCACACCTTGTGGCCAATATGTGGGGCAGCAGCCAGCAAAATGCATGTCTAGCAGGCACACACTTACACACCCACACTCACACCCACACCTACACAGACACACACACACACACACACACGAACACGTAATCTCGGAGCGGAAGCTGCGAATTTTGAATTCTGATGCGCTGGGAAATTGAATAAACAATGCAGACACAAATTAAGGCAGCTTACATGGGGATTGGATTTGAGATACTTCCAGTTCTCGTTAGTGGTATACCAGCCCGAGCAGATGGGCAGGAACGAGAGCAGCGCCGGCGACAGCCAAACCATTAGCAGCATGATGAACACACGACGATGCGTCATTATAAGCGGATAGTCCAGCGGCTGCACAATGGCATAGTACCTAAAATAACAGTGTGTGTGTGAGTGTATTTTTGGGGTACCTGTACCAGGCATTTGTGTTTGACCACTTACCTGTCCACCGAAATGCAACATAGATGCATAATGCTGGCTGTCGAGAAGTAGACGTCGAAACTGTTCCAAATGTCGCACATGAGTGATCCGAACATCCATCTGCCAGATATCTCGACGGAAGCATTAAAAGTCATGGCACAGAGGGCAACCAGCATGTCGGCCACAGCCAGTGAAACCACAAAATAGTTTGTGATGATGCTGTAAATTAAGCATGTATATGGAAAAGGAAGTCTGAGAAACTTTCGACGGAAATGCAGTTCAAAAGTTGTACAAATTGAGTTTTAAGCAACCCACACATTGATGTCATTATACTCTCGCGTCTAGTTTCCCCTTCAGCTTGTCGTCTTGATAACATGTCTGTATATTACACATACGCCGCATGTGACAGCAGCTTTTCGTGGCGTGGATTTCGGAGTTTAATGAGTTAATTGATAATTTGCTTAAGACACTGAGGCAACCAACCACCAGCAACCGCCAGTAACAATAACAACAAGCACCGCAGAATGTTAAACTCAATTATGGACACACGGCGTATGCGCGACGCTGAAAGTGATTGCAGCTTTAATTGCCGAAACTTTAAGCAAGAGGCAATTACATTTTCATAATTCACAATTTACACTAGGCCAATGAACCACGCACAATTCTACGCCCAAACGCCCACAAACTTAATTACAATCCGCAGGAACCAGGCGCCAGATGCCAGAGGAGTCAAAAAAGGGCAGACAGCAAGGGGTTGGCCAAAGGCGGACAGTCGATGGCCAGCTTTAAGCACCGCAGAAAATGTACAAGGTAGTACAAGGCAACGTCAGAATATAAGTAGTAAAAAGGCGTCGTTTTAAAGCCGATTAAAGGATGAAGCTGTGGGCTGGCAGCCTGAACGGTGCCAGCTCGATTCTGATAGGTGACAAGTTTAATTAGATTTATGACTTGTCAACTTCACCATTAAAATTTGGGGTCTTTGTCGGGGTAAGATACGCAGTTTTGAAATTATTGGAAGCCTGTTGTGAGCTATGTTGAACATTGTTATATAAATGTTTACTTGAACATTCTTGAAAATCTATGGAATAGATTAAATTCTGCAAAGTAACTGTTAAATTCTGTTTTGATCTGCATTATCTGTTCAATAAAGTTTTAAAATGTGGCAACGCCACTTTGAAAATTGACAGCACTTATCGATACACAGCTCGATACATTTTGGAATTCACATTAAACTGTTAATGGCAAGCTGTTAACATTGTTGGGCGCTGCCAGATCCAAGGTGGCAGCAATGCAATGCTTGGGCCTACGATAATTGAGCTTATTACGTCACAAAGATTTGCGAAAACAGTTTAACATTATGTTATGTTCAAATATGCTAAGACATGGGCAGACTGACAAACCTAACATTTATTTGAAACTCTTAGAGCTTATATAATTTCCGACAAGTTCAAGCTGTTTTCGGCATAAAATTCCACAAGAACTTCTGTCATTATAACTAGAATATAATAAGCAGCATTTCATCTTTGCAGTACATATAACTTATATAGCTCTATTTAGACCTGCTGCAACACACAACCGACTTTTAGTTTGTTACACCTTAATGGTCTGTAAGAAAGTTGGTTCAATTAGCGGACCGGATATTAAGTCAGCCAGCCGCACACGTACAATTGGCTAGCTCCTTGAACTAGGAAAAGGCTTCTGCACGTTTACACAGCCTTGTGATGTAGTTGGCTTAAATGAGGCCCAAATTATCGCAGGAAAGCTGGAGTTAGACGTACACCTGTGATTTGACACGCACACACACATAGAGGGCACTCACGGGCCAAAGACTTAAGTAGGAATGCATGTTAAGCATAATTAGGCTTAATTTGCCATAATGATTTAAACTGCGCAGCTAAGCAAAACATTTGAAATGGGCCCGAAGAAGCAGCAGCCAGATAAAAAATTTTATGCACCTGGCAATAGGCAACATTCCACCATTCCATTAGATGCCCTTCTGCCAAGGCAACAAAATTACCCGGCTACGCAGGCTCCACAAGTTAAATGAGCCCCGCAAATGTCAGGTGTGTCTGTGTGGCCCTTTGGGCTGTCGCCAAGGTGAACATTTTCTTGGGCCGCTTTAAGAGTTTTCATGCCTTGACATTGGTCGCCCCCGGGCGTGGGGAGGGGGAGAGACCGTGCGGTCGTCTACGTGTATGTGTGCTTTATGTTGCTTAAATGCCAGCAAAATACAACATATGAATTTGTGCCTGAAACACGTACAAAATTATGAAGAACTGCCGCAGGCTGACAACCCCCAACAACTCAGTTGTTGTTGTTGTTTTTGTTGTTGCCACAAAATTTATACGAATTGCCGTAAATGAAATGCCAGCCGGGCTGGTGTGTGTGTGTGCCCTTTTTAAGAAGGCCACAATATTTTAATGCGCGCTTCTTATTAACATATTCGATGTAATTACGCACGTTTTTGACATTTGACAGTGCCGCACATAAGTATGCCAACGGGGTCATGTTATTAAACAGATACCGCCCCCACACGACAAACAGTAGCCGGGTGCGATTGAGAGCCGGCCAGTTGACAAATATCTTGACACGCAACTTGGCCAAAATATGATAAATGATGGCCAGCTAATGGGCGCTAAGGCGAACGGGATTAACACGCCTGCGGCCACAGCGCAAAAAGCTACATAGACACAAAGTCCTGGCCGTGTCCTTGACAGCGCTTGATGACAATGGTGCTTTGTGGCGAACAATTCAATAATAAACAAGAAAGAGTGGTAAAGTGGGGTATGCCAGATCACGAGATACCGATACCGAGATAACCGAGCGCTTCAATTCGTAGAGTTCAATATTTTCAATCTGTCTATCGCACACAAGAAATTCATGTCTTATAGCTATTTTACTCTTTAGATTTTCATTTCTTTTCTCTTTTCTTTGTTCTTTCTTTTCCCATTTGTACAAAAACCTAATATCCTTTTTACCCATTTTTAATGCGAACAGGGTATAAAAAGAAAAGCGCGCCGCAAGCTAGTCGGGCCAATGGATGAATGAATAAATGGAACACGTTTGGGCGTTGCTTCCATTACTGTTGTTCATACCCTTGCAGAGGGTATTGTAATTTTGTCGTGAAATGCAGGAGCAGAAGACATATCCGACCACATAAAGTATATATATTCTTGATCAGTATCAACAGCCAAGTCGATACAGCCATGTCCACCTGTCCGCATGTCTATATCTATGCAAAATAGTCTCTCAGTTTTAATCTTTATGAAACTTTGCAGAAGTGCCAGCTGGATCGGCCCACTATATCATATAGCTGCCATAGGAACGATCGGTCGAAAATGAGGTTCATGTATGAAAAACATTTTGCTCTTCAAGATATCCTAACAATACACGGCATTTTCTATGCACTATGAGCATTATGAATAGGTTGGGTCTGCAAGGGTATTAAATCTTCGGAGTGCCGAAGATAACCATTCTTTCTGGCTTGTTTTGTTGACGTTGTGGCTGGCAACGCGATTAAAACTCACCGCAATTTCCGGTGGCGCATAACGGACACAATCACCAGCATGTTGCCCAGTATGGCGGCCAGTATGATGAAACCAATAATGAAACACTTGACGATGACAAATGTCAAATGCGCGCCGCCAGTTTCGGCAGCGGCTGCGGCAGTGCTGCCATTGTCCTGGACATGGCCAGCGTCAACATCATCCAAAGGAACGGACCGGCTGCCGCCGTTGCCAACACCTTCGTCCACATCGATGAGTCCATCGGCAACGAAATTCAAATAGCTCGCATGTGCCGATGCTGATACCGTGGCCGTTGCCTCCAGGAGCAGTGGCATGTAAACGGGTTGTGATGTCGCCCCCGCGCCGCCATCCTCGAGCAGGGTCCTCGCCGCAGTCGCAGCCGTTGCCGTTATCCTGCGCATGAGTGTCATAGTGGATGGAGCAAATTGTTATTTTGTTGCTGCTGTTGCGCTTCGATGGCAAAGTTAGTCCTTGAATCCAATGCAATTATTGGCTTGCCACTCACTGCTGACTAGTTGCCCTATGGCATACATATGGTTAGGGGCGCTCGTTCTGCAGGACATGCTGAATGTAACTGTCATTTGTTGTTTGCTTGTTTGTTGTTTCTATTGACTTTTGCTTTTACTGCTGACAGCAGTTGCTGGCCAAGTCTGCAATTGAATAGATATCAACGATTTATTAGTGCTCATATTTCATTTATTGTCGCATTGAAATCTATACTCGATTCGATTTGTATCAATTTGGCATTTGTTGTGCCAGCTTAATGAAGCACAACGTGCCAACGATTTATCAGCCTGCGGCTCTTGGCGGGGCGGGGCGGGCCCAAAATTTGTAGAACATGCAAATGTAAAACCAGCCTCATAAACACCTTGTGCCTTTGATGGTATTGTATAAATTGTGCAGCTCCAGGCACTTGGCTAACGAATACCCACACACACACACACACACACACACACACACACACACTGTGGAAACACAAATAAAGCTTCGGATGAGCCTTTGGCTGAGAACTGAGAACTGCCAATGAAATTGCTACCCACACAGGGATATGAAATTGTCTGTCTGTGTTCTTGCCTAACGTAATCCCACTCAACTCAATTGGCTTAATTTGCCATAAATAGCGCCAATGTGTCTGCTGGCTGGGACAATTTCTGTGACGCCAGCTTAAGCGATAAAATTCACTTCCTTCCGCTTACCGACAACTGTTGCCTGTCAATATTTTATCCTTATCAACTTTTAAATTACCTTGCACTTGTTCTTCTTCGTCAACTTTTCCAATTTGCCAAACTGCAAGCTTCTAATCAAACATAACTAACAAATTGCACAAAAGTTCTTGGCTTGCAAACAAATATTCAAATATCTACTGCGATCAAGCATCGCAAATAGTTCGCAGCATAAAAACTGCACGGCTTTGAATTGGTTTAAGGTTCTTGGAAAATTGGCAGCTCACGATTGAATACTTTTCATTGAGCATTAAAAAGTTGATAAGTGCATTTTCAGGAATTTGAATTGATGCCTGTTTTGCTTTAGCTTCAAATCATTCTATTACTATTATCAATTAATAAGTCCTTTAGTCACTATCTAAATCTAAACTAACATAAAGTCTGCATTAGATTTTTGAATTTATTTAAAAGATTTAGAACTTTCAGATAAAATTATGCTGTTCATTTTAATAAAATGTAATGGAACTCTATAAAAAATAACCGCAATACCATGCTGTTGGCTTCGTTCTGATTAGTTTTTGATTTGGCATTGATTGTTTCTCATATTAAAGTAAACACGCATTAAAATCAAGCACAAAATATGGGCTCTTTTTACTTTCTGATACCAGCTGAACACCCTGGCAGCCGTTGCTGACATTCACTTATGATTTACTTTTAACTTTATGATTAGTTTATATAAATAAATAATTAATTACTTACTGAAATTTGCGCTACTTTTAAATAAATTCAGCTTAAAGCATATATTAAGCTATGCCAATGAAGCAAGGCTAAGATAAATGTTTAGGGCATTATTTTTAAAATTTTAGATGAAATATATATTTTAAGGATATTGGCTTACTTGAACGCAACCGGAACTAAGGACCTTAAAACGAAAAACTGGAAACGGAAGTTGCGCATAGACAAATATCTAACGGCTGTTGCCAAAAAAAAATATGTTGCTATTTACAAATGTGAGTGTGTGTGGGTGTGTGTGTGTGTGTGTGTGTGTGTGTGTGGGTGTGTGTGGGAGTTATCTTTTGATTTGCTTCCGGTTAAGCAAACATTTGCGGCTTTGACTTGCCATTCTCTTAAATATAACAAACAGTAGATGCTAATGTGTGTGCGTGTGTGCGTGTGCGTAGGCGTTAGGAGTTAGCTAACAAAGTCTAAAGCTGATGGGATTGTGTTATGTGTTTTGGGTTTTGGGTGCTCTACCTTTGGGTAAATGAATTTCGTGTCGACACGCACACACAGAGCGACACTTGCACACACAAAAGCGCGCGCACGCTTTTATTTCCCATTTGCCCAGCTGAAGTGAACTTTAAATCAATAACAAGAACGAAAAGAAAAACACGAAATGAAAATCTTGAAATATGTCACGCGGCGGTGCTCGGCTGCTGCTGCTTGCCAAGAGTCCTTTTGTCAACCACATTGACAATGCTTCACAACAATACAGAATACGGCAAGAAGAACATAATAGCTGCAGCTGCCTCACAAGTGCCCAGTGGCTGTGGGACTCGGGTCGGGCGCGGGCGCGTGCGGGGGCGCGGGGAGTAGCCCAAGAGGAATGAAGTCGATTGAGATTGGTTGCCGTACACAGACAGGCACACACAACATCGATGCTCTCAAGGTAAGGACATTTCAAACCACAGCCGCTAGCCCTTCTCAGCCCACTTTCCCAGTCCCAGTCCCTCTCTCTCTCGCTCAGCGCCTAGTCCAGATTGTTGGCTGACTCGCGCTTTTCACGCTTTTCTTTTGGTTTTTTTTCCTTTCGACTTTTATTTGTTGTTAAAGTATCTGGGATTTGGCAGCGCTTGTTTGCTTTTGGGATTCATTCATTCTGAAGGGAAGGTCATGCTTAGGAGAAGGTCAATATACAATGGCCCAGAAATGAATATTTCAGTTTCAACTGGCAGCAATACAAGCTACATGGAGGTCAAAGCATATGGGAATTAGCGAGAGCGCATCTATATTTAATATATAAACAATAAAATACCTAAGGCTAAGTGCGAGAGAGAGAGAGAGAGAGAGAGAGAGAGAGAGAGACAAACAACACAATTGATATTACTGTCTATGCATGAGAATTGTGTAGAGGGGCGATATTTAAAATCTGTGTTTTTTTATATTAATATAATAGTTTTCGATGAATTGGGAGCTATTGTAATGTGACATATAATTGAGCTTTCTATTTCTTTATATATTATTTATACATATAAGAATGAGAGATCAAGCTAAACAAGTAGAGAGACAGGCAAACAACACTTTTAATATTACCATCTATGCTTGAGAATTGTATAGAAGGGCGATGTTTAAAATACTGTGTTTTTTATATTAATACAATAGTTTTCGATGAATTGGGAGCTCTCGTTATGTGAAATATAATTGAAGGTATACAGAGCCTTACACAAATTTTATTGCACTCAGTTCTTAGAAAGTACTTTACATACAAAATTTATATTATTTGATTTTTTGTTGTCGTTTCTGTTTCCCCACTGTGCAGGCTCTCGTTGCGAGTTTATGGCTGGTGGGTCAGCGGGTCGTTCACACGACGCTCCATTCATATTGTGACGGGATGTGATTCATTTCATTTGGGCTCCGACTGCGGCCCGTCTGGCCATTGTTGAGGTGCAATCGAGAATGATTCGCTGGCCTGGCTACCTGCCTGGCTATACAGGCTACGGATATTCTTTTTCTTGTTCCCTTATAAGTTATTTATTCGTACTTATTTTTGCTTATTTGAATTTGCCAGTGTGTTTATTTACAGCTGAGCATTGGACGAAGCCAGGCGTCAGCTATTTGCTTTGGCTAACACGCACACAAAAACACACACAAACTAAAGACATTTTCGTCTTACAAAGAGACCAAGTGCTTGTTGGCTTGGATTAAGGTCACTTGTTGGCCGATTTTGGGCTTTAATTACTTTCTTTGTGCTGGCATCTGGGGGCGGGCATTAAACACTTTTCGCTGATTTTAATTAATTTTTTATTTATGCAGGCAAGCAGATTTTTAACGCTAATTGATTTTACTTTCAAAGTGGGCTCAAGTATCGAAAGTATAAAAAAAAACCCGATCAAGCCTATTCTTGGGTCATTTATCACGGCAGTATTAATGTGGACGACAGCGACAGGGACGTGGTCAGAAAAATATTGATCGAGTCTTTGTCCAGATGTGAATTAATTGAGTGCTAAAAATGGCAAAGACAAAGCGGATGCGATGGCCAGATAAAAGGACGAGCCGAGGGACAACAAACCAAATCAAGAGAACATTCTTTTGCTTGCCAAACAACAAATATGAACCGAATGCGTAAACAAATCGAATGCCAACCAATCGGAACTAATTGGGCGCCTCGAAATATGCAAAGATAAAGCCGCAGCGATCTGTGCGGACCGCATCGAATGGATACCAAAGCAAGGGGCAAATTTTTGGTTTATAGCGGCCATTTGATAAATCAAATGGAAAAGGAAACCAGAAAACTTTCGGTTGCCCAACATGAAGCACACAAGCGTGTGTGTGTGTGTGTGTGCCCCATGACCTTGCGAGTGCTGCGAACTGTATCGGGCAATCAGCTGGCAGAGCGGAAGTCGCAGTTCAATTATTCATCTACCCTCAAACACGTTCTTTTCCCTTACATTATTATGACGGAGCGGCATGCAATACACGCACACACACACGCACACACACACACACGCATAAGTATGTAGATTGCTGACCAACAGCAAATTGGCCATCTCCTTGGCCTCGAGCATTTACATATTAAATTGCAGCTATGTATTTGTATTTGCATTTGCATTTGCCAGCAAAATGGCCTCAAATACGCGTTACAAATTTCTGAATAGCATTTTTTTTACACAATTTGAATTTAGTTTGCATAACACACGCACACACACACGCACAACATGCAACCTGAGCTGAACAGGAGCGAACTTTTGAGGCTGGCATTTAAGCGGCTTTTCACATTCACATGGCTGTTGACAACGCCAACAACCAGTGCTGTGGTTTCAATGTGGATGACAACTAGAAAAGGGTGGCATTTCTGAAATATTCCTGAAATATGGCAGCAACATAAAAATAAAAAATAAAGGAAACACAAAAGTGACATGTCATAAAAGTGCACAAGTAACAATTACACATGTAAATAGTAAATGTCAGCGGCAATGGAAAGCCTGTGGGCTGACCTGATTTCTGTAGAAAAGTACAACATTTTATATAGTATATAGTACAACATTTATATACAGCAACTGGCCAATCGA